TCTGTGCGGAGGTCGAAGGTGCGGGAGTGTTGGAGATAAGGAGGAAGAACGACGGCCTTGTCGCGGGCTTCGCGAGGGAGCTGGACGCGGAGGTCCCAGGAATCTAGGGTCACGAAAGCGAATTCCAAGTTCTTCGGGCCAATATGCTCGTTGTAGAAGTTACTGAAACGGTCGACGGCGTCGCGGAAGGAACCGGCGTTGCGGACCTGGTCCCATGTGAGGGTCGTCAAGCTGGCTGTGCAGGGTTCGACGTCAGCGGAAATTGCACAAATTGTGGACCGTAGAGGTGAAGAGCAAACTTACTGCATAGGGCCGTGATTGGCGTGTTGACAGGCTTAACGAGGACCGACTCACGATGGAGCTGTTGTTGAGTTAGCGATTGAGGTCGGCATTGGATCTGACTGACATACCTCCTCGCACGACTTTGCATCGAGCAGGATCCAACCGAGCTCAATGACCTCGGCAGAGTCTTTGGTAACATACACCCCGTGCTCGTCGCAGGTGGTAGCTACATGGATTACAACGTAGCGGTCCAGGTTGGCCGCCTGGGGGCTGGGGGTGGGTTGAGAAGCCATATCTATGTTGCTGAAAGGGTCAAGATTAGCCTGGTATCCTTGGTATCTCAGAGCAAGCTGGCAATTGAGGTTCTTGAGGTTCGGCGGGCGACGTCTGTTGGGGAAGGAGGTACGACGGTCGGCGGAAGGAGAAGGCGCGACGGGCGAGTACGTCAGCGGGGAGCCCAAGGTGAATGGTGAAGAGGAGTGGGGAACAGCTGGCAAGCTGTGAGGGCGTGAAGGGGAAAACGGAGCCTCGAGGTGACGGAGGATACGGTGAGATGAAACCAAATGCTACGAGATGGGGACGGACGACCTGAGGCTCCGTGCAATGATCCCGGGCAGATTTCTTGACGTGGATAGCAGAGCTAAGGCACAACTTCTAGATCTTGGCGGGAGCTCGACGTTAGTCCGCCTAGTGCCGGGCATGTCAGAGCGATGTGGGATATAGTGTGACGGTGCTGCAATTGCAATCTGTTCACGGGTTTTATGCTGGCTGAGACTTCAATTGACGTTTCTCTTACCCTTACTTGCCCCGTAGTTGTCCTGCAACGTCACGAAGCAAGGCTAATTTCGACGACGTCGCTCCAAATTTCCAGACGCAGGACGGCGTGCAGCAGGCCATGCCACGAGTACGGCGGACAGCAGCTCCCGCAGCCGCTCGGCAGAGCTGTCTGTACCCATCTGAAACACTCTCCGCCCTCTGATCCAATGTTCCACGCGTCTGCTGGAGGCGCTCGCGTGTGCTGCGCCTCGACCGTGCCACGTTGTGCCCCCATGGTGATATTGATCGATACCGCGTGTGCTCGTCCTGAACAGCTGCATTCGAGTTGTGCTTTTGCTGCTCGCCGTGCCGCTTTGGGCCACCGAGACTACTGCGTAATCAGGGTCCAACTGGCCAGCTGGCCCATCGTGACCGCGCGACATGCCCTCGTCTTATACAACGGGGCGGCGGCTGGCAGAGAGTCAGGCGCCTCTAAGTCCGCCTCTAACGCCGCGCGCATCCCACCCTCGACGACATCGCCGCGAGGTAGTCGGTCTTGTAGTAGTGCACGCCAAAGCTGTACCTAAAACATAAGTCCAGGACATGCAGAATATCGCCGTGGCCCCCTCCGCCCATCCCGCTTGGGCTCACCATCCGGGAACCCCTGGCGATCTTCCCATTCCCGCGGAGCCCTGGAGCTGGGGCCAGGCTCACGTGACGCGTAGGCTGTCGCCCGCTGCTCGTACCGCCGAACAATGAAATGGGGGCAGGAGGATGATGATCTTCGAGCCTTGCTGACACGTACAACAAGCACTAGCCCTGTCAGCGCGCCGTTGGATTCTTTGTGCGGGAAGTTCCTAACTGCTTGGGCCTGCCCCTTAAACGCGCTGCTCCCTCTGCTCTGTCCATAGACGCTCGAGCACCTTCACTGACTGACTGTTCTCCGCAATCCGCCTGCAATTTGCAGTTTATGCTCTCCAGTTTCGTCCCGGGCCCGCTCCCACGTACCGGGGACCTTGCACCTGCATTGCGGCTTTGGCAATTACCTGGGTCTGGCTGAGGCTTGTTACCAATCCAAGCATGTCTTCTCGGCAACGGGGATTCACATCTTCCCCGCAGCTTGCCAACGGACGCGAGTTAGTATTCACCTATCCACTTTTGAAACAACGGACTGCGCTGCACCACCTCAAAAGCAAATGTCCGACGCCTACATGGAATCCGTCCCCTAATACCTTTCCAGTTCATCGCGAGGCATCATGGGCTTCTTCAAGCGCTTCCGCCGCCAAAAAGCCTCCAAGAAGAGCGAGTCGCGTCCGCGCAACGACCTCTACGCCCCCGCAGTATATGACTACCACGGCCCCGACCAGACCCAACGCCTGCCCGATAAGGTCCTCCGCCGCATCTTCGAAGAAGTCTGTCCGCATTCGGCCGATGAATCCCTCGACGGCAGCGAGGACAGCGGCAATGACGGCTGCATGAGTTGTGACATGCGCGACCTGGCCCATTGTGCCCTGACCAAGCGACAATGGTACGGTGTTGCTGCCGGTCTCCTGTAAGTCCCACATGCTCAGTGCACCAGGCTACCCCCTAACGTGCCCCAGATACAACAGCATTCGCATTGATGCCGTCCACTATTGCGAGCTCGAGGAGGTCTACGCCGACCAGCGCCGGCGCAAGTCACGAAACGGCGAGGACATCGACGCGCCCACGCTCCGGCTGCAGCAGCTGGGCCAGAGTGTGCGTGGAAACCAATACCTCGGCCAGCGCGTGCGCTTCATCAAGCTTCCTTACATGACGCGCGAGGCGTGCAAGGCTGACCTGGCGCGAACCGTATCGGGCTGCCCGAACATCGAGTTCATCGACCTCCCCGACGGCTTCTACAATGGCGATCAGTCGTGTCAATTGCTGCGTCAGGAGCTCCAGGCGCGTTGCCCACACATCCGGAAGATGAAGTACAACGAGGGCGGAGAGCAGTCGCTAGAGACGCTCCTTCAGGGCTACTGGCAGGAGCTGATCTCGGTTGAGCTCAACAAGATCCAGATAGAGCCCAGCATCCTGAGGCAGGTCTTCGGCGTGCTGCCTCACTTGAAGGAGCTCACCATCACCGGCGTCTCGTGGCTGAACGACTCGACCTTCCACGACGCCCCGGGAATCCCCAACTTCCCTGCGCTAGAAACCCTGAAACTTACCAAGGTACACGGTGTCACCGCAAACGGACTCGCACAGTACCTCTACAACCCAATGTGCAGCGGCAGGCTGCGGACCCTCATTTTGAAGGATTGCGGTGGCATTCCCGTACCCTCCCTCCACATCATTCTGCAGGCTGCAGTCACCCTACGGACGCTGGAATACAATGCCACAGTCTCTGCATCTCTTCCTTTGGACCCGATACCACCCATGACGTCGTACACGCTACACAAGCTCCATTTCGAGGTCATCTCCAGCTCCGCCCATCAAGCCTACCCGCCTAGTGCATCGTGCTACCAGTACCTAGCCAACTCGCTCATTGCGAACTGCATGCCGGCGCTGCGACAGCTCTACGTGCGCGATCCCGAATTCCCAGAGGTCCTAACGCTCGCGCCACCGATCCGACCGTTCAGCGAGGCACCGCCGCCAATGTTCAACCAGCCCCTCGAAGTCTACTCCAAGGGTCTGGATGAGTTGGACTGGATCTTCACATCCATCATGCCGCCTGAGGCACAGGGACGCCGAGCATCAGTGTCAGTCGGTCGGCCATTGAGCAGCTACTCAGCACACAAGGGTCTCGGGCCCCAATGGGGTGGAGATGCTCGTAAAAGTATTGTGGTACCAAATGGATTTGGAGGTTTCTTGGCCGTGCCTGCAGACAACGATGGAAGACCACGGAGTGCGGGACACATGGCGCCTAGTGGAGGCTTCGGACACGGCTACTCCAACTCGCTTGGTGGCAGGGAGCCTAGTCCACGCGCCAGCTGGATGAGCCATGCAGGTCGCGAGAAGCGGGCCTCGAGGGCGGACCTCTGGCGATGAGTCGGGCGACTGCAACCTGCACCGCTCTTGTTCCCTTGCTTGCATTCTTCTTTCACTTCTCACTTCTGGATACCCGTCCATTCTTCTTTTCCTTCATAGGCGATCTTTGTAAGATACCAAGTGGAGTTCTTTTTTGATCTTACAGGGGTACGGTGCGATTTTTGGACGACTCATTGACGTTGGAATATTTGGATGGCACGAACGAAGATACCTTTAACGTGGGACACGGGGTACGTTTGGCTATCTGTAGACAAGAGATAGCTACAAAAGCCTCGAAAAGCGGCGGGATCTGGGATCTCGTCGCCATCTACGTACCAACGCATGCGCTTGCTATCAATGCTGTGATGCTGTAACTTGACATAGCGTTTTGATACTATGAGATCACCTAGCCAGCCCTGCATGTGACCACAACTTATTACAAGGAAAAGAAATCGAATACTCACTTGCAGCACCTGCTGGAAATTAATACCCCAGGAGTCTACGTTACGTGAAGACTTCGCTTACTCTCGGGTTGAAACCAGGTCTGACTGCAGCGTTCGGATTTTCGCTTGCACGTGGTGATCAAATACTAAGATGAGTCTATAGGCTAGGGGGTATCATCAGAAAGATGAAGGGTGATCAAGCAGAGTCAGGACTGCGCCCCACATTCTCCATACTCACATCCCTTCCAACTCTCCTCCTCCATGACCGCATCAATCGGACATTCTCCACTCTGAATTGCGTTCCTCACGCTCTCCTTAACCAGACTCCTCATTTCTTTATCTATCTCCTTAACCCACAACTGCCTGTGCCTAGCCCCACACCCCAAATTCCACGTCCCCCTCATACTCCCCCTCTCGTCTCTCTCTCCCGTGTTCTTCCCATCCACTGTGTCTGCCCTAAATATCTCCGAATGCCCAAGCCCGTGATGGAACAATTCCGGAGCTACACTCCAACACTTCCAATCTCGGTCCCTACACGCGCTCAATAGAGCAACATCGTATGCCGAACTGCCACCTTCCGGTTCCCTGGAGTAGGTAGAGAGGATCATGGCGGCAGACCGGCGGTTCACGGCGTAGGCAAATGTGCAGAACGGCCAAAAGCTTCTGTGTAGCAACCGAGATTTTAAGGGTATAGATAGAGAGGAGAGAAAAAGAGCGGTGTCTGGGTGGAGGAGGGGAGTGGGAGGTACGGTGGGGTCGCGGTACAGGAGGGAAGGCTGGGAGAGGTAGGCCGTGGAGATCAAGTCGTCGCAGTGGCCGGGGTAGAGGAGGTCCCAGCTGGTGGTTGAAGCCCAGTATGATGATGATGAGTCGTCAGTGACACCCTTGTCGAGCAAAGAGCGGACAGCGGATGCCAGGAGTGGGACCTGGGATTGCCGGATAAAGATGTCGAAATCAGTGTCGTCTTCGATGATGAGAACTGTCTCGTGGCTTGAGGCGAGGAACCTGTCATGTTATCAGTACATTATTCTCTATCATTGACCTCTTGAAACCGACGTACCATCTCAAAGCCTCCAAATGTCCCATCCAGGCTTTCGCACTTCCAGTGCTTAGACTACTACCTTCCTTCGTCTTCAGCTTCTCGACATCACCCACACCCCACTCCTTCTGCCGAGGAATCACAATCTCGATATCTGTTAGGTTGGCAGCCCATAGTAGGCTGGGTCGTCGTGGTGAGCTGGAGTGTGATACCGCAAGGATAGCACCAAAGCCGAGGGTAGAATTGGCTGGTGGGAGGGAAGGTGGAGGTTGCTGAGAGTGCGATGTGCTGGAAATGTAGGCGTAGGGATTGTGGCAGAATAGGTAAACCAGAGTAAGAATCGAGAAACCCGCGAACAGAAGCTGGGTTCTCCGAGCCATGTTTGGGAGGCAGACGAGATGTGGGAGAGGAAGAAGAGAGTATGTTAGTGGCACCTACCTAGGTGATTGGGACATGTCTCCATAGTGAAATGCAGTACTGTGCAAACGCAGTAGAGACTCCTATTGCTGGAGAAGTAGGTTCTGTCCCAATTAACATGACTCTCTTCATGGATTCCTCTCCTTTCAACATTTCACTCTCACTTGGCTCTGTCCGTCCTACTATTTTCCAAGGTTGCTGCAAGATTACAATACAATGGACACTAGCGTTCCAAGTCCAGCGTGGTGTGAAGTAGGTTCCACTCTTTGTCAGATACTCACTACCGAGATTATTGGCAATGTAAAGCCGAGAGACTACACAAACAGGGCTGCTGTGGCTGATGCATGGCAAAGTGTAATAATAATGCGCGGCAGGGCGGTACTTGCGGCGGGTGTGCGGCTAGATTGGCCGAAACAGCTAGGCGGGCATGGCCAAACACGCAGCTGCCCCGGCCCAGCTATTGTTAGCGCCACAACGGGCGCCCTTGCTGCATCAAGTAAGAGTCCAGCCAACCTTGTCCCCCTGAGAGGACCACCTCCATTGCGACGGTGCAAGACTGGGTCGCTTGCTTGACGTAGTGATTGGACTTAGGTACTGGAATCTCATGAATTAAACAGCCGAGTATCCGTGTGCACCTGCCGCTCCCTGTTGCTTCTTCCCACACTCCCTGCGCCGCTCCCCCTCACTTGCCTGGTGTATGCCCTCCAGCCTCTGTCTCCTATGTCCCTTACTTGTCGTCGCACAGGCACGCAAAGTCGTGTCGCACAGCAGCCGAGCACAACATGGCCACCGAAACAATCCCCTCGTCGGCGGCGGCAGCCCCCAAGATGTCGCGCTATAGGAGTGTGAGGCGCGCGCAAGAACAGCAACACCACACTTCGCCAGGCGCGCCCGCAGTGCCTCCCATGCCCGCCGTGTCCGAGATGCAGCCCCAAAGCGATGCGCCCATCAGCAGGAGCATGAGTCGCTACCACCGCAGACCGACTACCTCGCACGCGACCAGCCCAAACCCCCCACCGCTCCGTTCGAACACCATTCCAAATGCCCCTCCTCCCCTTCCTGCGCAAGTACCGCCCTCCACGCCCTCTACATCCCGGAACCGCGCTGTGAGTTCGCCGTACCAATCGTCGCATTCCGCAAACACCGGCCAGCGTCGGCCCAGGACCGCCAGAACTCGCACGACAGAGGCCTCGCCGCCCGTCTCCAATGCGCCGCAACAGCAGTCGCTCAGAGGCGATGACAGCGCGAGAGAGGTTTTGCAGCGGGAGAAGGAGAGACAGCGACAGCTCAAAGAAAAATATGAGGCAGAGGCGCGCGCACAGAAGCAGGCTAAGCAGGCCGAGCTGGACAGAGTCGAGAGGATGCGACACGAAGAGGAAGAAGCTGCGCGCTTAGATGCCCAACGAGAGATGGAAGAAGCCGAGGCCCTGCGTCGACAGAGGGAAGAACAAAAGGCCGAACAAGAACGCGGTAGACGATTACAGAAGGCCGAGAACCAGAAAGTCCTCCAACAAAGGGAAGAGGGCGTCCGCAAGGCGAAGCTCGAAGAGAAGGAGCGGCAGGCAACCCTCGCAAAGCTTGAGCAGAAGGGCCGAAAAGCTCCCTCTTCGTCGCCTCCAGTATCGCCACCGCGGCAGCAGGAGACAGGTTTCGGAATGTTCAAGAGGAGAAAGGATGAGGCATTGGGTCTAGATGCCCCTGTGCAACAACCCGCTGCGCCGCAACTAAGTCTCAATCTCGGAGAGGAGGAAACTATCAGACCCGGCGGAGGTGGCGTTGTTCTAGGCATCGATGCGCCTACATCCGCCGTAAATGCTGGTGATAGAGTATGTACATCATTCATCAAACACGAACATGCGACTAACAGCCGTAATAGCGCGTTAAAGTCGTGTGCAACGAGAAGCGCATCCTGCTCCCTGTGACTCCAACTACGACTCCTCTCGATCTTATCAAGTCTGCTGCCACGGTGCTCACAGACCCCATTGACGTTCGCACAGCTGTCATTTCCGAGCTCTTCACCAAAGTTAGCATCACACGCCCCCTTCGCAACTACGAGTACGTGAGAGATGTGATGAACTCCTGGGATTACGACAATCAAAACGAACTTACCATCATTGACTCTGATGTCGACGGTATCGACCAGGACAGTCTACTCTCGTACAAGGTCCCAGACACCAGACCAGAGGGCGCTTCATGCTTTATCCAATACTCATCGAGACCTGGGAAATGGAGTAAACGACTTCTCATCCTTCGCCCAGACGGACAATTAGTCATGGCCAAGAACGAAAAGATCAAGGAAAAGGACCAGGAAAACATCTGCACACTCACAGACTACGACATCTACTCGGTGACCCAGTCCAAGCTGGCACGGGTGAAGCCCCCAAAGAAGATTTGCTATGCCGTCAAGAGTATGCAAAAGTCTAACATCTTTGCGGACGAATCGCAGTATGTCCACTTTTTCTGTACCAACGACCGAAACATAGCGAACACGTTCTACACAGCGTTACAGACGTGGCGGAGTTGGTATCTCAAACACCAGAAGGGCGAGGGTTTGAAGAAGAAGACTCATGCGACACGCAATGTGTCCGGGGCTGCTGAAGCCGCACAGACGTCGTCGCATTCAAGAGGAGAATCAGTTGGGTCGCATTACCAGCTCGGTGCTTTCTCGTCCTTGCTCGATATGGACAGTTTCAACAAGACGCTGGACCAGATTGAAGTTCACAAACCGGGAGAGTTTCCAGACGACAAACCTCTTTCCAAGCTCGATAGCAGGGCAATGCACTCGCGGATGAAGTCGATACGTGTAAAGCAACCACCCCCAGCCGCTTTCAGCAAGAGTGGTCTGGTTGCAGAAAGCACTTCACCGCCGAGTGCCCGCAGTCGAAGTGTTGATCAGCAAGGCGACGAGGCGTTTGCATCGAGCGGCCTTCTGGGACGTAGCTACACGCAACGTCAAGCCGCTCTACAAGCTCGTGAGCCGTCAGGCCCGTTCACAGAAGGTCCATCTCTGCTGAACAACATGGGCCGTGTAGCCCAAGTATCGTCCAACGATTCTGGTCTGAAACGTAATACCTCAGTCCGCAGCAATCATCACCGGCGAGCATCCAGCGATCTCCAACGTAGTGCTTCGAAGCGTGTACCTGGCATGCCCGAGCCTTTGGTCGATCTAACACCCCAGTACCGCCCGCCACCGCAGCATCTGAACAAGGGCAAAGGCTACAATCCAGGAGCTGGCGCCGGGCCGTTGGTCGAAAGTGCAACGTCGATCGAGGAGGCTATCAAGGTTCCCTCATCAACAGACTGGCGCGCCGGTCGTCCAGGTACATCGCGAGCCGCTGGTGGCCACGAACGCACGCGCTCGCTCAAGGGTCGTGGCGAGCCATTGGCTGCGTATACACAAAATAACCATCTCGGTGCTCCAGAGGATGACAGTAAGGCGTTTACCGGAGGCGGTTTGCTATCTCAAGCCGGCTACTCGCAGGGGAAGGACATGGTGGGTAGGGGCGTTATGGATGGTAGTAAAGCCAGGGGCCCCATGGTCAACCTCTCGTCGAACAACGAATTCGCACAAGGCAGTTTGCTGAGTGCGCTGCCAAACGCTGCTCCGGTCATCGATCGGAGTGGTAAGTAGGGTCGTTTGCTCGACGGGTCCCTTTTGCTTGGAGTTTTTTTGGGGTTCGTCGTTTTCGTTTGTTGGCGTTGCGCGTTTAGCTCGATATCCATTGCTTTGGCTGCACTTTCATATGTCGCCTGTTACGGCCTGGGTGGTATCTGGTATAATAGATTTATAGAGGCCTGAGAGGGGAGTAGTCCAAGGCTTATTCTGGACTCTATGACACAAAAGCAAATGCAAAAGATTTCTAGAAGAAGCTTCTTTTACTCTCCAGCCATCTCGTAGGGTCGTTCGCTGTTCAAGGCTGCTGACATGTTGTATTCGAGACTCTCACCAGTCGAGTGCCATTGTCTAGACCTTGGTGTATCAGGCACTGACCGTATACGAGTCATGCACCTGCCTAGCAACCCAGCACGATACTGGTATACGGCCATACAGTGCTGCTAGACAATATCGTCCGAGATGCAATACGACACGGCTCGCAGGGAAAACCTTTCCTTCCGATGAACTCTCCGCAGCGCATCGCACACCTGTCACATGGCGCGGCGGTGGCTTTTGTGGGCCCTTCACGTGCTCCTCTCCGCCTCCACCCACGACCCACTAATGGCGCTGTGGAGAGAGTTGGCGTGCTGTCGACTTCTCCCACCGTTCGCGGGAACCCCGCAATTGTCGGCCTTACTGCACTCCGTATGACGGAATACTGCAGCAAGCGGACCTGGTGCAGCGCCTCGGCAGTCGAACGCAGCGCGCAGCTCTTGCATCCAGCTGACCCTTTTGATGTTCTTGATGCGTCTGAAAGCGGACGGGCATAGACAAGCAGACAGGAATAAGCGAGCAGCTCAACGGGCGGCGGGATCGGTCGATGCTCCGCTTCTCATTTCCAAAGGAAACTGTTGAGTTGTTGACTCGCGGCCTTGGCCTCGCCCGTTGCGCTTCAGCCTCAGAATTGGGCGCTGCCCGTGGGGTCGACTCTGGCTTCAAGTGCAGCGCGGCGAGTGTGAACAGCATCGGAGAGACGTGGTGCAGCTGGGACGGGGCGCGTCAAGGCGGCCAGGCTAAATGGCAGTTTAAACGTGAATGGGCAGTAGAAGCCGAGCGCCTACGTCACGGCAGAGTACGCCGGCGGTCCTACGACGATTGATCCGATACCCAAAGAGGAATCCCAACCTCCACCGGGTAGCCAACGCTCGTGCGCCAAACAATAGCGGCCCAGCATTTCTGTCCCCAGGGCGCCTGCAAAACATCTTTCCTCGACTATTAGACAGAGTTTGCTTGCTGCTGCTCTGCTACCACACGTCCAATTGCTCCTGCAGCTCCACCACACCGTGTCCGCCGCCAGCACTTCGTACT